TGCTCTACCTCACATCAGTTTATGTGGCTCATTATTGCAAATTCATGCCTCGAGTCCTTTCTCTGGCAGTGAAGAGTGTGGATGTGACTGTGGTGCACACACTGCATGCGTAGACAGTTTGTCTTTTAGATGATGTTTTGTTTTCTATGGAGGTATCTCCTTCCTTTTCTGACCTTTCTCTCTGTACATGTCCTTGCCCTGCTTCCTGCTATGGCTCACGATGGTGCTGGAAAGACTGTCTCTTCTTTCCATCTCCAATGCTGGAAATGATGAGCAAGATAATTTTTCCCACTCCCTTTTTTTCTTTTCTGCCACCACACCTGTCTTGTACGTTATTGTGATAATATACAAAATATAAAGTCTACTATTTTAACATCTTTAATTTGTATAGTTCAATGGCATTAAGTACATTTATAAGTGGGTATGGTTACATACCAACAAAATTATGTTTATATACAACTGAGCTATATCCCCAGCCATGGTTTACTACCAATTCATATACATATATGATCCTTTTTATATTGTCTAGAACCATTCTATTTTGTTACAGAAAACATGTTCTCAATGTCTAATATCTATTTATATAACAAACTAAGTTGACATTAAGGAACTGGACATTCTAACTTGACACTAAAATGCTCAGGGTTTTCAATGTATGTTTTAGTCTTCTTTGGAACATAAGATGTATTTTTTTTCTTTTTTTTATTAATTTTTAAATTTATCTTAATTAGTCATACATGACAGTAGAATGCATTTATGCACTTTGATATATCATATATAGATGGGATATAATTTCTCATTTTTCAGAGTGTACATGTTGCAGAATCACATTATACATAAAGTAATAATGTCTGTTTCATTCTACTATGTTCCTTATCCCCACACTCCCTCTCTTCTCCTCCTCTCCCATCACTTCCCTCTATCTAACCTAAGGTAACGCTATAGTCTTGCCTTCCTAGTCCATGCTCTGGCTATATATTTGAAACTAGCAGTTAATAAGCATTCTGATATGAAATACATAATTTATAAGCACATTAAAGTTCCTCTTATGCAATTTTCAAAGAAAACAGGCTTGTTTTCCTTTAACTTTGCTATAAATTATATAGAAAATTTAGTTTTAATCTGAAATGTGGCCAGTTAGGACACAGTTCCTGTCTCCTACTTTATAGTAGTCCCCTTTGATGGGAGAAGGCTCCTGGAACTTCACAGCAAGGCATTGTGGGTGATCATTGTCTAATTCTTGGCCATCATGGTAAAGCTGTTTCTGAGAGGTTGGGAAGACCTAGCAGCCTGGGCCCCCATCACTGCAGAGCAGAATAAAACTTGAGAGGTCTTTAAGAATTTGATCTTCTGGAAAGTGTTAGGAGTGCTCATTTGAACAGTTTTGTCTGGTCAGGGAAATTATGCTAAGACTGAACCTGATTCTCAAATAAATGGCTTGCTTCGATATATTTTTTTCCACCATCATCATCCTTCTTTTCCTGGGGAAGATTGGCACTGATTTTTAATTTACTGTGCATTCTGTCACCACTGTGCATTCTGTCACTACAGACAAGGCAGCTGTGCACTCTCCCCACAGACGGTGGCCGTGGACTAAGGATGGATCCTGTTAACCCCGTGCCATGTTTGCCTAAGGCAAATTGATCCCCAAGGCCAGGGGACCAAGACTTGGCATGTGATGTTGTGTCAGGTGTTCAGAGAACCCTAGAAACATCTAGGACATTGTGTAGCTTTCTCTCTCTTGTTCATGTTGTAGGTTGCTGGCTTGAGTTTTGTTTTGTTTTAATTAGTTATACATGACAGTACAATGATCTTGACATAGCATACATTTGAATCAGATGGGTATAATTTCTCATTTTTCTGAGTATACAGGTTGCAGAATCACATTGGTCATACAGTCACCTATATACATACAGCAATAGTAGTGCCTATTTTATTCTGTTGTCCTTCCATTCCCCCCTTCCCCTCCTCTCCCCTCCCATCTCTTCTCTCTACCCAATCTAATGTGACTCACTTCTTTTTTTTTCCCCTCACATCTTCATACCTGTATTCTGTACAACAAAGGGGGTCTCCTTCCCTTTTCCATGCAATTCCCCTTCTCCCTCTTTTTCCCTCCCACCTCTCTTCCCTATTTAGTGGTAGTCTTCTTCTCATGCTCTTCCTCCCTACCCCATTTTGAGTCACCCCCCTTGTATCAGAGAAGACATTTGGCATTTGTATTTTGGGGATTGGCTAACTTAACTTAGCATAATCTGCTCTAATGCTGGCTTGAGTTTTAATTAGGTTGCATGAAAATGCAACTTGTTGGGAGTTTTAATTATCTTCCACTTGGGAACCTCGAAGCCTGGTTTGTTTTCATTGTGCTTCTCCCTGAAAAGGACTGAGGGACAGTTCAACACCCCACCACCCCACGCTGCCAAATTTTGTGTTGTGCTGGCCTTGGTAACATTTTCTGACACAAAAGTTGGGACATGGGATACTGACTTCTGTTTTTTCCTATTTATTAGTTAAATCAAAGGGTCTCTGAAGCTATAAAAATTAAACTACATTGAACCCTATGTAGTTTAATGAGTTTATTTCATTTGGGAAGAACCAACATTTGTAAACCTGGGACTCTTTGAGAAACCTTGGAGATCTGGCTGCTGAGAAACAACTTCCTGGACCAGGAGTTTGGGATGCTGCTGCTGCAGCTGTGTTCCCTGGGTGCTTGCCTGAGCCAGGGTCCCTGCACAAGGATTGGTTTATTACATCTCTTAACAGACCTGGGAGGTGGGTTCTTGCATACCCTCATCTCAGAGATGAGGACTTTTGAGGCCCAAAGCAGTTAGGTCCCATCTCTAGGGTGTAAATGGCTGGGGTAGGATGTGATACCAGCTAGGCTGGACTTAAGCGTTCATTTTCAGGACCCCTGCTCTGCTGTCACTATGCCACAGTCAGTGTTTTCCTTGTTCTTCCCCCCTCCCCCCACAGTTAGTGCTTTTTGGGTGGGCTCAGGGACCTTTGAATTTTGGGAGATGACAGGCTGTGTACTTGGTACTTGATGCTCATGGCCTCTGGTGGAGTTGTACCTTAGCCTCAGGTTGCCAGCTCTGTTCTTCAGGTGCCCTTGAGCATCAGAAGAAGATATATACTTGATCAACAAATATATGAAAAATTGTTCAACATCTCTTGTAATTAGAGAAATGCAAATCAAAACTACTCTTGAGATTTCATCTCCAGTCAGAATGGCAGCTATAAAGAATACAAACAACAATAAATTTTGGCAAAGATGTTGGGGAAAAGGCACACTCCTACTGGTGGGACTGGGGGGACTGCAAATTTGTGCAACCAATCTGGAAAGCAGTATGGAGATTCCTTAGAAAACTTGGAATGGAACCACCATTTGACCCAGCTATCCCACTCCTCAGACTATACCCAAAGGCCTTAAAATCAGCCTACTATAGTAACGCAGCCACGTTAATTTTCATAGCAGCTCAATTCACAATAGCTAAACTGTGGAACCAACCTAGATGCCCTTCAGTAGATGAATGGATAAAGAAACTGTGCTATATATACACAATGGACTATTACTCAGCATTAAAAGAGAATGAAATCATGGCATTTGCAGGTAAATGGATAGAGTTAGAGAATATCATGCTAAGCAAAATAAGCCAAACCCAAAAAACCAAAGGCCGAATGTTCTCTCTGATAAGTGGATGCCAATCCATAACGGGGAGGGGGGAGGCATGGGAAAAATGGAGGAACTTTGGGCAAAGGGGAGGGAGAAGAGGGAGGCACATGGGGGCAGGAAAGATGTGGAAGGAGATGGACATCATGACCCTAGATACACATATGTTGTGACACTACATCGTATACAACCATAGGAATATAAAGTTGTGCTGCAATTGTGTACAATGAATCAAAATGCATTCTGCAGTCATATATACCTAATTAAAATAAATAAATTTTTAAAAAAAGAACATGGAAAATTTACAAATCAAAATGGAAAAGTTACAAGTAATAAAATGCAGTATTTAAACTGAAAAAAAAAATGTGGGTTTATGAGATGGGACATTTAGGAGGTAGATGTGGGTTTTACATAGTTCTTCCTAAGCTAATGAATAATTTAAAGCTTCCAATTTCACCAGAATTCTGTTCCTGGTTTCTAGCATTGTTCTTCCTGTGGGTTATTGTGCCCATAGCACCATTATCCTGGAGGTTGTCTGTGGTGAACCTTTGTCTTGTAGTCTTTGATCCATTTGTCAAGTGGCCTTGTAGGGCAATTCTTTCAAAGTGACAGAACATCTTGATATCTTCACTAGCTCATACCTGACCTTTCTTAAACTGTGTCTCCCCACTTATCTGTTGTAGGTACCTGGTAGAATGAGGAGCTGGGGAGGCTCTGGAGAAATAAGGAAATTAAAGGCAATTGTAGACAAAAATGGATATGTTTCCTAAGAACTGATAGCACACTGTTGCACAAACACTCATGTGGCAATCATGCTAACTAAGAATGCGTTCCTGTGCATGGCAGAGAACATGCTTACCAGCCTGAGTCGATGCTGATATTTGGCATGGGGAAGCTCTGTCCTGCACTGCATTCCTGTTGGCTATTGTAAGAATCGTTACAATTTCTTTTTCTTTCCTTTTTTAATGGTCTTGGTTGTGAAAATATGATAAAGGTTTTCAAAGGAAAATCAGGTGAGTACTGGTATGCCACCCTGTCCTATAGCACTCACCAGGTCACTGAATCCTAAGCCGAATGACACTATCAGCTTGTTCTTGGGGGCATCTTGAGGCCTGTGGTACTGCTGTCTGTTCATGTCAATGCAGAGTGATAGAAAACAAGTGCCACCATGCTGAACAGTTGTTGTGCCCTGCAGGGTCTAGAGACTCGCTGGGGCTCAGAGCTGAGGTCTGCAGAAGGGAGATCTGGGATTTGTATGTTATAGGAGAAGCCTCAGCAAATCCTCTGAGTTCTCTTCTCTTCTCACTAGTTGATTTGGTTTTGGTTCTTCCAGGAAGAGTCCGCTGAAGGAGAAGGTCATGGACTTGATGTCCTCTACTTCCATCCTGCCCCTGCTGTTAGGCTGCCTGGGCATCTTTGGCATCTATCAGCTGCTGCAGCGGATGCGCACGAAGGTCTACGTTCAGAATACTGTGGTGGTGATAACAGGCGCCACCTCGGGGCTGGGCAGAGGTGGGTCGTGGGGATGGTTGAGGTGGGGAATCAGCCAGTTGTGAGGGGGTTGTTTACACAGGGGCCACAGGAATGCAAGTGCAATCTTACTGTCTTTTGTCCAGTTGGAAAAAGTGGGGCCTTATATACAGTGAGAAACAGCCCCTGCCTCTCAGTGGGGAAGCAAAAGCAAATGACTGCAGGACCTATTGAAGGGGCAACCTTCCTAAGCTCCAGCTGCTTATTAAAAGAAGATTTTTTTTTTTTTTTAAGTATTGAGGATTGATCTCAGGGGCACTTGGCCACTGAGCCACATCCCCAGCCCTGTTTTGTATTTTATTTGGAGACAGGGTCTCACTGAGTTGCTTGGCACCTCAGTTTTGCTAAGGCTGACTTTGAACTCAGGATCCTCCTGCCTCAGCCTTCCAAGCTGCTGGGATTACAGGTGTGTGCCACTGCGCCTGGATGAAAGAAGGATTTTGATGTGAAATTGCCCAATTTTCAGATACGAACAACTAATTTAACAAGTATTTTTGCCTCTGTGAGGGACAAGTAAAATATGCCTTTTTTCCTAGACTCAGCCAAAACCATGGACCTTGGTACATGGCCTTGGTGCATACTCCCCCTCTCCCTTCCCAAGTGTGGCAGAGTTGGAGACAGGATCAGTGAGACTTCAACTTTTCCTCAATGAGGTCTACCGTTCATTGCCATTCCCCTTCAGTGAGTATTCTGAGCTTCTGAGGCCTGGGGTCTGGGACATAGGCCTGGTGTCAGTCAAATCCTTGGCCTGGTTCCTTTCCTGGAATCCCACACAGATGTGTTGCAGAGCTCAGTCATTGATTCTGGAAACTTAGACAAAGAGTATGCTTCGTGAAGCTCCCTCCGTCTTCCTTAGCCTTTTTTATGTGCCCTGCATATTCAAGCACATGTCCAGGGAGGAAAGCTGAGATGTTCCCAGAACTGTAGTAAGCTTTCCTGCCACTGTGATGGCAAAGCCAGTGCCCACTGAGTATCTTCTAATCCTGAGACTCTGGGCCAAGTGCTGGACAAATAGATGAAAGACAGAGTCTTTGGGGCTGGGGATAGCTCAGTGGTAGAAGGCTTGCCTAGCCCGCACAAAATCCAGGCCTTCATCCCTAGCACTGGGAAAAAAAAAAAATTAAAGACAGGGAGGTTCCTCCTTCTTGAGGAGGTCACAGTGTGCCAGAGAAAGGCAAGGATTTATCTTGGCATACTGCCACTTTAGTAGTGGGTGTTCCCTGTCAGGCCTGCTGCCAGGACGCACATCTATCTGTACATGCCAGCTTGTGCCACACGTTTTCAGGTGCAGGGTGTCACTAAGTTATCACAGCTGAGATGCTAATCACAGTACGACTTGCCTTATGACTTCCTGCCAGAAAGCACAAAGCCAAAAGTCAGACCCACATCTCTGACTCTAGAACTCTGTCCTAAAGCCTTAATTAGGGGAGTGAGGTGATGACTATAATAGGAAGATGTGGGCCAGTAGGGTGGGCGTTCTTGACTGGTCCAGGGGTGGGAGTGACATGGTCACGCAGGGAGTTGTGCGTAACTAGAGGCTGCAGAACACAAAAGAAGAGACAGGCCTCGTCTGTAGGGCAGGAGGCTTGCGGGGAAGTACAGGAAGGCTTTAGGGAATGTGAGTTTCTTTGTGCACCACCTACCAGGGGTGGTAGGTGAGGTCTCTGGGGGTGAAACCGCATCTGTCATTGAATTGCCAGTCCTTCGAAAGGACAGCTGCCTCCAAGCCCTTTGCCATGGTCAGTCCTCTGACCTTACTCAGTCACTATAAATAGCAGTCAGCAGTCTCTTCTCTTGATCTCAGAGAGAAGCAAGTTTTAAAAGTCTTTGAAGAAGATTTGCGAGCTGGCTGGGGTGGAATGGTGAGTTGCAGGTGCCCCCATAGATGGAGGTTCAGAAGGACACTGTCCTCTTTATTCTGCATCTCCTCGCATGACACCAAGACTGTAAAGGGAATAGAAAATGTAATTGAGAAAAATAACCTGCAGATATAGTATATGATGTCAGGTCTTTTCTGAGTTCTAGTCACTAGTTTATATTCTACCCTATTTAACATCTTGGGGACAGGAGTCCCTCCATCCAGATAAAGTGGGAACAGATTTTCAATGGGCTGTCTCAGTACAAACACTCCCAGTTGATTATACCAACAACCAGCTGTTGTGGCCTAGCTTCTGTGAGGAGGGAGATCTATACTGCCCTCAGTAGCTCTGCCTGTCCTAACCTTGAAGGTTGGGGGTTATATGATGAATCTTCAGATAGCTTTATGTATTTTTCTAATTTCCTGTCTTGTGCACTTAAGCTACATGATCTTATCCTTACAGAACAGTAGCACCAGTGACTAAAGGAACAGAATGTTCTGGATGCCTGCTTCAGCTAGCCTAAAGCACATGGCTCTGCACAGCTATCTTGATTTGTTCAAGGCAGCTCTGGGGACTCATCTGCAGCCCTAGATAACTGGCACCTTGGAACTGTTAGCCTTGTTCCTTAACTTTCCTGTCTCCCTGCATCAGGTTTTTCAAGGAAGGAAAATGAAATCCTTCCAATGTGTCATTTTCATTTCTATCACTCTCTACACAAATTATAATTTCCTCTTTTTGACTTTACTAGGAAGCAAAGTAGAATTTAAATGATCCTTTTCCAGAAGGGTACCTCCCTACCTTTGGTTAAGTCTACATCCTTTGGTGGCACCTCAGTGTGTTGATCAGGACACGACAGAATGGGGTGAGGAAGCTAACGGGACCAAGGATCCTGATATTTGAGAAGGACTCAGTAAGCTGGCTGAGCAGTTCTAGCCTCAGGAACGCTGGCGTCTGGTTTTGGGGTATCCCCGTCCCCACCTTCAGTCCTGTGAGGACTTTGCTGTTCCGCTGGGAAGGAGCACAAGGGCAGGTGGGGCTGCTGCTGTGACCTGACCAGACTACCAGGGACAGGCAGAAGCAATGGCTGTGGCTCTTATGGGGCCTCTGCATTTCTTCAAGCAAGTCAGTGAACAAACCAAGCAAGTCTCCAAAAGCTGTGCAGCATCCCTGACCTGGGAGTGCATTTCTATAATCTGCCTGGCAACTCTCAGAGAAGTGAGGTGCAAGAGACGGGCAGCCCAGGTATGGCGAGTGAACAGGGCCAAAGGGGACCTGTGGGGTGCAGAAAGGGCTTGCACCGTGAGACAGGGGGCAGAGCACCTTCTCCTTGACATCTCAGGCCCCTGAGTTCTAAAGGACACTGGGATTTTTTTCTCCCTTCCTGTTTTGAACCTTCTAGCTTTAAGGAAGCTTGACATACACTGCCCGAATTTTCTGACCTTGTCCCTTCTCAGCCTAGAAAGTGACAGCCCTCATTCCTCCTCTGCTCCTTGCTGCATGGCTTCCAGAGATGGAATTGCCCTGTAGGGCAGGCCTGTCCCTTTTATGAATCAGGCTCTTGGGCCTCTTAAGATTTGGTTGGGAGCCACGTGGGTGACACACTGGCCTCAGTATGATCAGCGAGAAACAAGGTGTCTTGTGGAGATCTGCTCCTGAGCATTTTTGGGGAACTAGACCTCAGGTGAGGACAGGCAGTGCCCTGCCTTACACCTACTCACTTCAGTTTTCAGAACATTTTAAAATGGCAGCTTAGAAATATTAAAGTATTAAAAACAAGAAGTATTAGAATAGTACTTCCTAGTGCTTCTTGTTTACCCAGCACTGTAGGAAGTGATTGCCTACTTTAACTCATTCAATCTCACAGTTCTCCCTGAAGTAGGCACTATTTTTATCTGCATCTTAAAGAGAGGAAAGCAAGAAGCAAAGAGGTTATAACTTACCTGACATCATGGAACCAGTAAATGTGGGTAGTGAGAGTTGAACACAGGAAGTCTGGCTCAAATCTGTTCCCTCGACCACTGGGCTGCCTGCTTTTACAAAGCCATGAGTTTTCAGGGTACTGAACAATTAATGAGAACACGTTTGGGGGGAGGGGAAGCAATAAACATACCTTCCTCGCCTCCCTCACATCACCCTTTGCTTCCGTTCCCCCCACCACCATTTTGCTACCTGAATCCCTCCCCTAGCCTAACAAGGCCTTTGAACCTTCCTCTTTCTTGCATCTTTTTTTTTTTTTTTTTGGTGATGCTGGGAATTGAAGCCAGGGCCTATGCATGCGAGGCAGGCACACTCTACCCACTGAGCTATATCCCCAGCCTAACCTTCCTCTTTCTGCACTAGCATCATCTATTCATGGTTCCTCCTGTGCTTTGCGCACCTTGCTCCCTCTACCTTGAGCAGGTGCAAGCAGCCCCTCAGGCTCCAGGGTTCCTAGGTGGGCCTCCTCATTCCTTACAGAGTCCTTTGCCCTCATTTTTTACAGAACTGTGCAGGTCTTCTGTACATCTGTGTGACTGCAGATGAGCAGTTCCAGAAACAGGTCAGGTGGTGCTGGAACACAGCCTGTTGGACAGTGTTATAGCAGCTGGTCTTGCCTATCCTATCCCATTGGTACAGGTTCTCTGCCTGATCATGAGGAACATCACTCAGCCTGGCTGAGCTTCCTCAGCCATGGAAATGGAGATGGCAATCCCAGGGTTATTCGTGGAAAGTTTTGAGCCTAGTACTGATCATAAATCTGTCCACCCTTTGCCTTCCTCATTGTTTTGTGGATGTCTGCTGCATCTCTAGATGGGAGCCCTACATTGGACCCTAACAACTAGCCTTATGCTGGTCCATAGCACCTGCCGATACGTACACGTGAGGAAACAAACATACCCTCCGCACTGGATGAATTTGAATTGAATTGCATGGGGGAGGAATGGCTTTGGATATCCTCAGCTGTCAAGGTCCTTTTCTCTTCCCTTAGAATGTGCCAAAGTCTTCCATGCTGCAGGTGCTAAGCTGGTGCTCTGTGGCCGGAATGTAGAGGCCCTTGAAGAACTCACCAGAGAGCTCACTGCTTCTCATACCTCCCAGGTGAGCCCAGGGCATGTTTTCCAAGGGGAAGGGCTCCGGTAGCCCCCTTAGGAGACAGCAGGCCACTCTTGGGCTGCTGGACTGAAGAACATTTGTGTGGTCAAGCTGTACAGGGGAAGCAGCAGGACTCCAAGCAAAGGGGGCCACAGCCTGAGGAGGGACTGTCTTCACATCCCACATTGCCACCACTGACTAGGCTGTGGATTGAGGAAGTTCCTTCTGTGGGAATGCTTTCCCAGCCTTTTACCTGGCTTGTCTCCACTCACCTGGTGGGGATTGATGATGATTTAAGATTTTTTAAATTGTTTTAAAATAACACACACACACACACACACAGCCTACATTTTGTTTATCCATCCATCTGTCAATGAATAGCCTGTTGGTGAACTTGGGTTGTTTGTGCTTTTTTACTATTGTGAACAGTGCTGCTATGGATGTTGGTGTTAAGAGTCCCTGCTTTCCATTTTTTTTTGATGTATACCTAAGAGTGAAATTACTCAATGATATGGGTAGTTTTGTTTACTTTTGAAGAGCTGCCAAATTGGTCTCCAGAATAGCTGCACCACTTTACATTCCTGCCAGTAATGCACAGGGACTGGTTTTCCACACTTGACATTTTTGGTGATATTGTTGGTGATGGTGGTTTTTAACTATACCCATCCTAGGAAGGGTGGGTTTTATAGTTTAAACTCTTACATTTAGGTCTTTGTTCTATTTGGGTTATTTTTATATGTGATATTAGGTAAGGGTCTAATTTCATTATTTCATGTGCATATCCAATTCTCCTAAAACCCATTTTTTGAAGTCTATTCTTCATTGACTGGTCTAGCACTGTTGTCAAAAATCATTTGGTCATGGTTGGGCATGGTGGTACACACCTGCAATCCCAGCAACTTGGAAGGCTGAGGCAAATGAATTGTAAGTTCAAGGCCAGCCTCAGCAACTTTTTAGCAAGACCCCATTTCAAAATAAAAAATAAAAAGAGTTGAGGATGTAGCTCAGTTGAAAATGCTCCTGGGGTGCTGGGGATGTGGCTCAAGCGGTAGCGCGCTCACCTGGCATGCATGCGGCCCGGGTTCAATCCTCAGCACTACATACAAACAAAGATGTTGTGTCTGCCGAACTAAAAAAAAAATAAATAAATATTAAAATTCTCTCTCTCTTTAAAAAAAAGAAAATGTTCCTGGGTTTAATCTCCAGTACTGGGGGAAAAAAAAATTGATCATATATTTGAAAGTGTATTTCTGAGTTCTTTATTCCATTCCATTGGCTGATATGCTTGTCCCTTGTCAATAATATGCTGTCTTAATTACTGTAGCTTTGTAATAAGTTTCAAAATCAGGAAGTGTGAGTGCTTTAACTATGTTCTTTTTCAGGATTCATTTGCTATTGAGGGGCCATTGCAATCCCATGTGAATTCTAGGATTTTTTTTTTTTCCTGCAAAAGATGCCATTGGGGGCTGGGGTTGTGACCTAGGAGTAGGGCACTTGCCTAGCATGTGCAAGGCCCTGGGTTCAATCCTCAGCACTACAAGAAAATAAATAAATAAAATAAAGGTATTGTGTCCAACTACAACTAAAAAAATAAATATTAAAAAAAGCCATTGGGATTTTGATAAGAATTGCATTGAACTTATAGATCACTTTGGTAGTATTGTGAAATTAACAATATTGACTTCCAATCCATGAATATAGGATGTCTTTCCTTGTATTTGTGTCATTTTTAATTTTAGTCAGCAAATGTCTTCAGTGTGAAAATCTTACATTTCCTCGGTTAGATTCATTCCTCAGTATTTCGTAACATCTTTTGCTTTCCTAACATCCTTTTCACAATTTATTGTTCCTGTATGGAAATAGCTGATTTTTTGTTGTTGTTGGTGTTTTGATCTTGTACCCTGCAGCTTTGCTGAATTTTTTAGTTAGCTCTTAATAGCTTTCATGGGATTTGCTGCCATTTTCTATATATAGAATCATGTCATCTGCAAACAGAGATAGTTTTATCTCTTCCTTTCCAATATGGGGGACGTTTTCTTGTCTCGTTGCTTCAGTGAGGACTTCCCAGTGCAGTGTTGCACTTTACATCTGTTGGGATGCCCTCCACATTGTGTTGCTTAGCTACTCATTTCTCTAGCACAGGACTTTATAGCATTCTTCACAGTTACAGAATTAATCTGTGCCTCAGAGGGACACGTTGTTGGCTTCTGCTATGTCCTCATTACATGGTATATGTAAATATTATTTCATGAAGAAATGAGTAAAAGTGACTTAACCTGAGAAGAACAGGACCCCTCTGTGAGCCACTGAACGTATTAAAGTTGGATAGCACAAAGCAGCAAGGATAGCTATGGTTAATAGCTTCTGTGGTTACCTGCTACAGCAGTCCACACATATGTGACCTGTCCTGGGGAGCTTACAACTGGACTGCTGAAAGTAGGAGAAGCCCAGGTCATATCTCATGAGGTGCAGGCAACTTTAGTTCAAGATTAGAGTTGTCCAGGTCAGGGGTGACCACTCTAGGCAGGGTCACCCTGTAGGCCTCATCTCTTCGGAAGAGGACTGCTGCTGTAGCCCATGTTGTTTCGTCTCCATTATGTCACTCCCTGGACTCTGAAAAGCAGGGACACATAGCTATGGGGCCTGTCACTTATCAGGTATATTTGGTGTCTTGTGTTTGGCCAGAAGCAGACGCACAAGCCTTACACAGTGACCTTCGACCTCGCAGACACGGGGGCTACTGTTGCTGCAGCAGCTGAGATCCTGCAGTGCTTTGGCTATGTGGATGTACTCATCAACAATGCTGGGATCAGCTACCGAGGGACCATCACAGACACCACAGTGGATGTTGACAAGAGGGTCATGGAGACAAACTACTTTGGCCCTATTGCTCTAACAAAAGGTAACAGTCTTGGGTTTAAAGAGGAAAGAGTGTGATACATTGGCATCCTTTTTGTTCTGCTCAGTTCCTCTTAGGCTGCATGCCGCCTACCCCCATTTGCTGTTTTACCCTGCTGTGGGTGTGGTCACTGTAGTTTGAATGTTTGCTTTTTGCAGGTTTCTATTAGCATTCTCTCTGTGTTAGCCCTTTATCAGGGTCTTCCTCTAGCCACAGCCTCCTTGGCTAGCACTGCCTTGCTGTGGTGTCTGCAGACTCCTTTGTGGTGGGGATATTTTGATATCTAGCCAGACTTCAGTCCAGGGAACAGACTCCTCATAGGACAGGGAACTGTGCTGCCCATTGTGGGTGGTTACTCTGTCTGTGGACTTCCTCCTGCCTCTTTCCTCTGCTGCATGGCTCTCCATCCTGAGGAGCTGTCAGGCACAGTGACTGGAAGATGGTGTCTAAATCCCTGCCCTCTCCCCTCAGCACTCCTGCCCTCCATGATCAAGAGGAGGCAAGGCCACATCGTCACCATCAGCAGCATCCAGGGCAAAATCAGCATTCCTTTTCGATCAGCATGTGAGTTCCCCCCCCCAAAAAAAAACCCACAATTTTTGTCTTCTTCTTATAAAAATAACACGTTTACTGTCCTGAAATCAGACATTGAAGAAATACCCTACATGGAACGTGAAGGAAGTTCATCAGAATGTGTTCTCTGGAGCCACATACCTGGGGTCAAATCCAGCACTGCTTCTTACCCACTGTGTAACCTTGGGCAGGTGTCCCCACCTCTCTGTGTTCATCTGTATTTGCACATAGGTACAAGTCCCAGCCCCAGTCTAAAGGAGCTGCTGTGAGTACAGTGTCTGGAGAGCTCTGCCCTGGGCGCTGCACACACTGCCTCTCTTACTGTGTTGTTTACTAGCGTCAGCCCACTGATAAGGTTATTTTATCACTTTGGAGCATTAGCCTCCAATTTTTTTTCTACATGTAATCAAACAAAATTGGGATCATGCCAGTTGCAGTAGCACATGCCTGTAATCCCAGCAACTCTGGAGGCTGAGGCAGGAGGATTGCAAGTTCAAGGCCATCCTGGGCTTAAAATGAAAAGGGCTGGGGATGTAGCTCAGTGGTAGAGCACCCCTGGGTTCAATCCCCAGGACCAAAAAAAGGGGGGGAGGGGGAGGGGACCCCATCATGCATGCTCTTTTGGAGCTTGCTTGTCCCACCTGGCTGTCTGACTTTCCATACCAGCACATGTGGATTTACCTTATCCTTTTAAGTGGGTTTATAATAATATGTTGAGTGGATGTTTGAGGAGCTTTTCCCCTTTTCAGTGCTTTGAGTGATTTGCCACAGAGAACATCCTTGAATGTTCATATCTCTGGGCACTTAGAGGAGGGGTTTCAATACGATGAATTCCAAGAAGCATAAATATTAGATAGGACCAAATAATTAAAACTGCCAAGTTGACTTCCAGTTCACAGGTTTCCCTCCACGTAGGTGTCATTTCTTCTGTCGCTCTGCCCTCACGTTGTACCAGCAAACACACAGAATGTAGTTGTTGGTGTTTGGGGTTTTTAAAAGACTTTAAAGGGCACTTCACAAACTGTCTCAGTAGCTCCTTTCTTTGCTTCATCTTCTGAAAGAAAAATATGACTTGGGACAGCCTCACCCGCTCTCAGTCACTTCCCAAAGCCAGCCAGGGCCCGGCACAGTGAAGGAAGCTTGGGCTGTGTCAGCAATTTGAAAACACAGTAATACTCTGCTTGATGATAAGATGGAGCAACCATTTGCACTAAAGATGGAACAGAATCGTGTTCTTCCCCCCGAGGTCTTAATTCAGCTACATCTTTTGGTTTTAGTTGTATGTGCTTGGATCAGTCACTTAACTTTTCTGACCCTCAGTTTCTTACCTATCATTGTGACTTATAGTCATCATACATTTCCCAGGGCTGGTACCAAGATGAAATGAGGCAACTAGAGATGTCCTATGTAAACTGGAACAATATTTGTTTCTATAGTTGTTATTTATCTTTTTGCTAATATTCCATGTCAACCCTTAGAGCATACACAGGCAGTCACTTAAGGCTGCCAAAATGATCCCCCACCCCAAAACCACCATGTATAATCACAGATAATCATGCAAGTAAGGTAGAATGTTAATAGATAAATCAGGGTAAAAGATATACAGAGTTCTTTGTATTAAATTATTTCCACATTTTACTTTGATTACACCCCACTGATTTCTATTCTCTAATTGACTTGCTGACTATAGTAGGTGTGCAAGAAGGGTTTGGATGCAGTACGGTGACTAGACTGAATCTGGCTGTGCCTCCTGGGCAAGTGTGTCAGCTCAGCCTCCTCTCCCTTCTGCTGCTATCAGGAGAAGCCATGAACTGTAACACTGCAGTGCAGAGGAGGGACGAAGTGATGGTGACAGTGTGACAGGAATGGGCTGCACAACAGGCTGAGAACCCATAGCCTAAGAGCTTGAGACCCAATCATTGTGTGGCTTCTATCGTGGAGACCCCAAGGATGACCCACTCTTCCTGCCCTTGGGCCTTGGCTGCCCCCTGGAATTATTCACTCCCCTAAAATCTACTCATCTAGCCCTGGAATCACTGCCCAAATACAGTCTAGCTGCTTCCTGTGACACTTCCTTGCTTTTCTCCTTCCTGTTTACTTGGCTGAGAGAAGCCCTTTTTTATTAAGACTAAAACGTTTAGGACCCAACTACAGGAAATTGATTTGCTGTGTTTCCCAAGAATATCACTGTAGGGTTACCCCCTCAGAGCACCTTCCATTAGATTGGGGAGCTGCTGCTGAGGAGCACAGGTGGCTCTGTCTCTTGCAGATGGTGCACTTTCTAGCTTCTAGTTGAAAGTTCCTGCCTAGTTTGCAAAGGGAAGTACATCAGAAGCAAGCTTGGACATCATACACATGTGTGCAGGCAGGGATGCTCAGGGGTAGTGTGCTTAGCAGTGATAAAAACTGGAAGAGACCCATAAAGGTCCACTGATGGGGCCAGATCTGTCACCTGATGATCCCTTGGGGAGGATCAGGCAGCCAGAGCCATGTGATGGGTGGGTCTGCAGGGCCATCACAGAAAGTTACTTGCAGGAATAAAAGGAAGAGTATGAGCTCATTTCTGTAAAAGAAATGTAAGATCCCATCTTATATCTGTACCTGTACATAACAGATCCAAAAATAAATCCTAAGAAACGGCATTGTTCACCTCTGGGAACAAAATTGGAAAGCAGGACTTTTGCTTTTTTACTTTATGAGCATTAAGCTTTTGTTTAACTTGGAAAAATTTCAGACTTAAAGAAGAATTGTAAGAACAGCAGAAACATGCACCCTTCACCAAGATTCCCCAGTTAACATTTTCCCTTATTCTCTTATGAGTGAATTTACAATTATTTTTTCTCAGCCATGTGAGAATTTGGTGACAGATTCCCCCTTTATGCCTAACCACTTAAGATTTCCTAACAACAAGGACATAGAGCACTTCTCAAATCAGGAAATGAATATTGCTATAAGGCTTAAATCTTACATTATAAAACCATGTTTTAAACAGAGAGTAAATGGGAGTGAGTAGGTGGGACTTGGGCCCTACCCACCTTGGCACACTCACTCCCTCTCTGCCCATGTTTGCAGATGCAGCCTCCAAGCATGCAACCCAGGCCTTCTTTGACTGCCTGCGTGCTGAGATGGAACAGGATGGGATCCAGGTGACTGTCATCAGTCCCGGCTACATCTATACCAACCTCTCTGTAAATGCCATTACCTCGGATGGGTCCAGATATGGAGGTAAGGCCTGGTTGCTCTTGTATGAAAAGCTATCGATCAGCCCTAGTGAAATGTGTAGCTCTTACCTACCCCAGTGATTGTTGTCATTTTTCATTTAGAATATGATTTTTAAAGCTGAAAAACTTGGCATGGTGTTGGCTGTAGGTACCGATTGTTATTTAATCTTCACTTACCACCAAGAACTGACCTTAGCCTGAGCATCACCACTAGAGCTTTCAGAACAGGAGGCCTAGAGGTAGAGGACTTAGTGGAATAGAAAGGAAGTCCCTAACCTGAATTGCCCCTAAACAGCCAGCTAACGTATTTCTAGATCCCAAGGCCCAAATAGTATTTTCTTTTTTTTTTAGTGCAGGGGTGGGTACCCAGGATTGAACCCAGGGCGCTCAACCACTGAGCCACATTCCTAGCCCTATTTGGTATTTTATTTAGCGACAGGGTCTTAGTTGCTTAGCTCCTCGATGTTGCTGAGGCTGGCTTTGAACTCGCAATCCTCCTGCCTCAGCCTCCCGAACTGAGCTGCTGGGATTACAAGCGAGTACCACTGCACCAGGCCCAAGAAGTATTTTCACTATCAAGACTAAGGGAATTAACTTTGGGGCAAGTGTGGGTGGCTTGACCTGAATGGTCCCTCCTCAGTATATTGGAGAAATGACTGGCTTCAGGAAGAGTCTTCAGGGTAAGGCTGAGTACGGTGCAGTAATCTCCATCTTGCTTCAGTCAGAGGCAGCACCGAGGCTGACCTGCAGTCACCATTTGTGGGCTGGGCAGCCCCCCACCAGCATGCAAGCCAGGCAGACAGCAGTCAGCTACTGCTTCTCAAGTTAGGCAGCCCATGAGTTCTAAAGCTGCTGAAGCCTGCCTGCCTGCCTGAACTCAGAACAGAACTGCCCATCTCTACAGTATGTTCCACTGTGTCCTGCCTCCCTGGCTGTGGTCTCTTGCAGGTCTGTGCTGCAGCATCTGCCAAGGACATGCTGGGCTTGCACCCACCCCAGCCAAGTTTGAACCAAGACTACCCTGTCCTGGGTGGCAGCTGCTCTCTTCCTAAAGCAAATCTCTCTGTGGCACTTTACAATTAAGCAGTAATTAAAAACTTCCCATTCTTTCATTAACCACAGTGAGAACAGATACTGGTGAGGAAGCTCGGGCAGACTGGATAGCTTCGGGAAGGTATCAAACTGGGTGTGCTAGTGGCCTGTGCCTGCTGACTGAGCCTACTCTGCTGGCAAAATGTCAGATCACTAGTAAAGAAGGGTTAGTAAAGGTTACTAACCCTAAACTACCCACAGCTGTCTTCTCCAACAGCTTAAAGTGAATGACAGCTTTCTTCCTGTCCCTCATCCAGCTAACACGAAATTGGGAGTTGGGACATCTGTCTACTCTCTACTCAGCTGGTGGTACATGTATGGGTCAGAAGGCCCTCCCCACTTCAAGAGATGGTACAACAGTCTCGACTCATTTGTTGTTCCAAGAGCAAAAATGTCCAAGATCAGGAAGCTGCTGCTCAGGTGTGAGGGGCTTGCTCTATGAGACCCTACCTTGGCCGGCCTTCTGCTTTTGTCATCAGACCACCAGGCAGATGGACTCACATTGGTTCCCATCACTGACTGGGGTCCCCAGTCTGTCTTGTCCCCATATTCCACCCATAACTCCCTTACCCTCACTTACTTACTTAGAAACACAAAATGGTTCCTATTTCCTCTGGATATAACACCTTCAGGGATAGGGGCATGCCACCTCCTTCCTGGCAGACTCTGGGAACAGCTTCACAGTGGGGAGTGCAACAAGCTGACCTAATGGCTCCCGTCAGCTCCAGTCCTCAAGAGAAGGTCCTCTGCTTTCTAGTTCATGTGTTGCTTTTCTTCTTTTAGCTGTTGACAAGAACACAGCCCAGGGCCGAAGCCCTGCAGAGGTGGCCCAAGATGTTCTTGCTGCTGTGGGGAAGAAGAAGAAAGATGTGATCGTGGCTGACTTGCTGCCTTCCTTGGCCATTTATCTTCGAACTCTGGCTCCTGGGCTCTTCTTCAGCATCATGGCCATCAGGGCCAGAAAGGAAAGAAAATCTAAGAATTCCTAATCCTGGCCAGAGCTAGCAGCTCCAACCAGTTTGAGCTAGGATGAGAAGCAACACTTCCCCAGGCTTGACTGCTCTTCAAGGGACAGCTGTGCTTGAGACTTTAATGGCAATTTGCCCTCCAGGTGGAAAAGACTGAAGAAACTTTTCTCCTGCAGGTCCATGATGCAACCCCAGGCAATGAGCTTCTTCCTAGAGGTGAGGGATAAGCACTTAAGGAATAAATATGGAGATGGGTTTCAACTCTAAAAACATGAAATAAATGATAGGAATAGTAAGAGTCATAAACCTCAGTGACTAGAAGAACTGAAGCATGTCCTTTGAATTCCAGCCTTGATGACTCCTAGAAAACTATCTTGGAATCAGATGTTATAACATCACCTGACTCAGTTGTTCGAGTTTGACATATCCAAGACCACTTAACCCATTTGCTTTGGAGGGGACACCACCAGCACTTGGGAGAGAAGGTTGTATTTTTAGGAAATCATTATTCATATCCCTTTCCAGGATCCTGTGATAGCCCATTTGATATAGAAAATGGTGGGCTACTGTGTGATGGGTTCTATGGCACATCCCAAGTGATCCTGGCTTTAGCACCAAAAGGTATTCCTATGTTCCTTCTCACTGTAACCACAGCCTTAGAGGATGCCAGGCACCATTCAAGCAGGTGAATTTCCTAAAGAGGCAGCAACCAGAAGGGAGACCTCTGCATGGCCCTAGACATCCTCTAGGAAAAGAAACCTTTGGAGACTGGCCTGGTGAGCAGAGCTGAAGTAGCAGCTAGTTTCCAGGTGGAAGGAGTTCATTTGCTGATTATAGCCAGAGAGAAGGCCTGGGTCCACCTTTGATTTATTAAAAGTACATAGTTGAAGTTCTTGAGTGAGTCACTTCATTTAGGGAGAAGTTTTCCTATTAATGAGAATGAAGTTGAAATAGTAGGTCCACTGTAGGCTTCCCCAAATTGGGATAAAAATCTCCTAGCATATGATGTTGATGTCTGCACTGACCTAACTCTGGCTCTGTTCACCTTTTGTTGTAAACAGTTGCCTCTGACAGGAGCCTGGGGTTAGGGCTCTGGAGGATTTTAAGTTTCTTGGGAGTAGACGAACAAGTGGATGATTAGCTGGGGCCCTGGCTCACAGCACATCCTGGACATTCCAGACCCTTGGGTAAAATGTGAATATACACAAGATGGGTGGTTCTTCATCTTGCACAGGAATCACCACCCCACTCCTGACATCAGAGAGAGGGTTTCTTAGTGTCTAGGGATGCTGGGGCTGAGACAGCAGCAACTGTTCCAGATCTAGCCCAGTCTCAAGTGAAGTGAAACTGCCAAGCATGTAGCAGCTTCAGGGATAGGGCTCCCTCTCTAAATGGAGCAAGAGAACACCTCTTCTTAGACATTTATTGACTGGCACTTTTAGAATGGCTGATGTCCAGCTGCTGTTCCTTTCTTGTCTATTAAATAAAACCATCAGCATTGGATATACTGCCCTCAAAATGAGAGTTCAGCAGTGGTGTCCTCCATCTTTAGAAGATAAGGAACTGCAAAGCCATTGGTGAGGGTGTTGCTCTGGGAGCCACCATGGTAGGTAGTTATGAGCCACCAAGCCTTATCAGCTTGCAGCTGTGGTGCAGGGAGCTTGGAGCACCTCAAGTTCACTTCTGGTGGACATGTGGTGGTTTCTTTGCCTAACATTATTTAAAACTCACTTTCTAAGATTTACTTTAGAAACTCTCTACATATTTTGACATATAAAGTATAATGTAAAATATAATTATTAACTGGGCTCTTCTTCAGCATCATGGCCTCCAGGGCCAGAAAGAAGAGAAAATCTAAGAATTCCTAATCCTGGCCAGAGCTAGCATAGATACGGCTACTTGCCAGAGGCTGAACATGGGACACCCTGCTCTTGAGGTTGGCAGATTCCAGGGAAGCTTTAATGTCAGAGGGATGCTCTTGGCCTCAGAGACCACAGCCCAAAGGGCCGGTCATCAGTGTGCTTCAAGTTCCCTGTTGCTCCTACAGTGTTATTTCAGGTACCTCTGGAGCTAAGCAAGCCTTTCTGGATAGAGTGCTGGTTTGGACAAATGGGAGACCTCCTGAGGCCACCTGTCCTCATGTGGAGGGCAGCTGGTACATCCTCCTGGGGCCAAGCCTCCACCTGCCCAGCCTGCCTGGCGAGCTTATTCCAAGAGAGCAGCTCACCACAGCCTGGCTTTGGCTTGTGGACTCTGAATAACCTTCATTTTAATCTTGGATTTTTCAAACCAGTGTCTGAATGTAAGCACTTGCCACCAGAGGTAGCAGTGTTGCTGCAGTTCCAGTTTAGCTTTTCTGTCATTGGGTTTTTTTTTTGTTGTTGTTGTTGTTTTGTTTTGGGCTCACTTTCAATCTTGAATTCTGTAGGGATGTCTGAAAACCACGACATTTAATTGGTTCTGCCTTCAGATATCTGATAAAGTTCAAAGACACTTTCCACTTTCCTTTCCAAACCTTTTGGTGTTCCGCTGGTGCTTGGGCAAGAGCAGGCCATCTTGTGCTTCCTGCCCAAAACCGAGACTGAAAACTAAAACTAGCTTTTTCTTCTCAGCCAGCACGGCTCTACGCAGTGTAGAGGGGGAAATGGTGAGGACATGGCTCCTTGGGCATATAGCCTGGCTCACAGCAAGTCTCCCAGCCTCCTGAGACAGGTGGGTGTCCCAGTGCTAGACCAGATGTGAAACTTGGAGGAGCCGAGAGGCTGTGGAGGAGACACAGGTGGAAAGAGCCAGCCAGGGTCTGCCCTTCACATTGCCTGGTTAGTTGTCTCTGCTTCTCTAAAACTGGATGGGGTGGGTAGTTAAGATTAAAGTGGTTTGCTAGATTAGTTACACGACCCATTCCCTTAAATGACCCACGTGGGACTTGGGCGGATTTTCCACAGCAGGACCTCTGGGTCATGTGGCCTTTGCTTCCTCTCAATTATCAGTTACTGAAAGCTGTATGACACAGGTGAGCATGAGCCACTTGTCGAGGACCCTGCTGTGTGTGACAGCCTCTCTGGGCAGGAGGGAGGTATACGTTGGCTGCTCCCAAGGCCTTGCCTGGGTCACACCAACCCTGCCCTGCTGTCTGCAGAGGCACTGCAGCTTCACTTGTATGACCAGGGACCACATAACTACGATGGCATTTCACAACCTGGGTTGGTACACCCAACAAGAGACACTTCGTTAAGTGTGGCCTGGGAAATGGCAAAGGAGCGTCCGTTTGTACCTGGTTTCTATTTTGGTTGAGGGCATCTCCTTGGCTGACCTGAGGTCCCACAGCCTGTCCAGTTCTAGCCACCTCCCCCATGAAATCTGATGTGCAGAAAGAGCACAGCTAGGCCAGTCATGGGGCTCCCTTTCCAACTCTGAACCTGTCTGTCACAAAAACACATACCTTGCTGTCCTGCCCAGCAGGCTTGGAAGCCAGTGCTCAGAGCCTGAGTTGTGGGCAGCGCATTTCAGCTTGTCCTGCACAATTGGGATGAGGCCTGTTTGTCCAGGATCTCTTGTAGTTATCATTTTATTGTTCCCACTGGCCAAAGGCCAGCATGTAAACAATACTGTACACCTGACATTTTATCACTCAACAATTCAAGGACACTATCAAAGTTTAAAATGTTTCGTGGGCCATGGTACTCTTAGAAGATTTGGATCTCCCCTACCAAAACGGCGTAACCGCCCCAGAGCCTTGCTGTGTACCGTGGGTGAAGCGCCCTCATGGCTCTGTGGCACAGCTGGGTGAAAGGTCAGCCTGTCTGTCTCCTGAAGACTGTCCTTCGTAAGTGCTGTGTGGCTGTGAGGGGAGAACTGGGCCACTGAGGCCTCGGCCTTTATAAAGGGGTCTATTGTCCATTTATCCAAAACCTCAGCAGGAGTGTGGCAGACAGTGCATAAGGTGACTTTTGGCTGAGGAAGGAGCCCAGCAAGGGGCTGGGCTGCTGTGGATTAGCCCCCAAGGTTATCCAGGGTGCTTTCCTGATAGTTTCCAGGGCTCTTCCCTTGGCCTAGGATATGGGTTGAATTTGGTCCACATCAGGAACAGCTGTGGGTGCTTTAAAAAACCAAAGATGTTAGCACCTGTGTCCTCCTAAATCAGAATTTCTGGACAAAGGCTTCTGGGCCCCAGAATTTCCCAAAAGGGAACCCAAAGAGAGACTCATGATCTCAAGGCACCATCACTTTACCATGTCCCTGAACACCAGCATGTCAGCAGTGCTGACCCCAACCACAGCAAGGCCAAGGTGAGCCAGGCTATCTGGGCAGGGGCTGCTGGCCTCAGGACCTCAGATCCAGACCTGTTCTTGCTAAGTGGTGACACTAGGCTGCAATGAGGAGCAGAAGGTGTCTGTAGTGCCTGCATAACTCAGGTGCAGCGGGAGCTGCAAGCACCATTATGGAGAGACAGAACAGCAGAAGTTGAAATTCTCATAATTTTAATAATGGTCAATAGCTTCTGGTTGGCTCTGAATGGTACAGTTAAACAATATACTTCAAGACCCCCCCCAAAGCACGTTCACACCCCCTCAGTAGCGTTGGCTTCCATCCACATTCCACTGCCCAATCAGACTTCCACAGCCTCAGAACCCCTCCTGGGTTATGGAAATCCACATCTTAGTGTAATGAGCTGAAAAACCCCTTGGTATACCCATGATCTGTGTTCTTTTTTAAAAATAACAAGTATTAAACCAAACACCTTCCCAGGCTGCCTTGCAGAGCAAGAAGTGTTACTGTGGCAATGTGAATCCTCTCCTCTCTCGCGGGCTGTGTGGCTCTGCTCCTCTCCCTGCTCTACTGAAGTCATACAGCGTAGAGTTCGTAAATCTTCTTTACACAGTACACCAGGGCGGCCAGTGCTATCGTGTTGTGCAGTCTCTTTCTGTGCAGGTCGTCCTTCCGGACCAGCACCACCGGGGTGGAGGAGGTGAGTGTGTGCAGAGGCAGGCGGGACAGTTTATAGGCATCGTACTCCACTTGGTACTTGCAGCAAGGGTCAAACTGCCAGGAGATCCCGTAGAGGGTGCAGCAAGCCAGGCTCAGCGCACCAGCGGGCAGGGAGATGTAGTGGGAATAATCTAAGGGCAGTGCCAATGGGGTGAAGAGGCAGGCAGTACCCGCCAGCACGGTCGTCTTGTGCAGGCAATTGCCCACGGTGATCCAGCGCGCAGTCTCATCGCCGATGCGGGTGGGCTCGATCACAATGTACTTGTACTGGGCTTCCAGGGCCTGCTCCAGCTCATATTCAAACTGGTCTTGGGCGTTCTCCCCATTGTAGATCTCGTGCACAATGTAGCAGTCCGTGGCCGACAAGCTCACCCTTTGATGGGGGAGAAAGACAAGGCGGTTAGGCTGAAGCACTGGACTGGGTTTCACTAAGATGCTGGAAGCATCACTTATTTATTTATTTAATTTTTATTGTTGGTTGTTCAAAACATTACATATTTCACACTTTGATTCAAGTGGGTTATGTGGAAGCATCACTTATGTGTTTATCTGCTCTAGAACCCAACAGACAAGATAATCAGTAAACATTTTTCTTTCTGAGAGAATGAAAGAACAAAATGAAAGATGCAGAAAAAGGAGTAATAGGTGCATCTGACAAGCCACCACACTGTATGCCAGCTTGCTGGGGAGTGTAGTGTGGTACCCTAGCAGACTGCCAAGTTGGCACACAGCCCAAAGGGAAAAAAGTGATTGCAGCACAGAATGCCACAGACCCGAACACAGCAGATGCACAAGGTCAACAGCTCGGAAGCTGTCTTGGATTGTCAGACAACTGCAAGAGGGTTTTTCTATGGAAACCAACATACCCCTCAGGACATGATACTGAACAACCCTGCCCTT